CCGGCCGTGGGGAGCCCGCCCGGCTCGAGTCTGTGAGCCGCGGGGGCGTGTGAGAGTGGGCTGGTGGATCTGGGGCTTCCTTGGGAGGCCCGGGTGCCCTCTTGCTGAGGGCTCGGTTTTGCGTGCTTTGGTAAGTAACCCAGAAGCGAGTCACACAGCGAGCCAGAGCAGCATCTAGGTGAAGGTGACTCTTCAGTTCTTGTTTTAAGGGGGTTTCCATTTTACTCAGTTGACACGGTTTTGAGATCGGTCACATCTCTCTGAGCAACGCTAAGCGATGCGACTGTTGATCAAATCCCGGCTTTAGTTTAGAATTAATCCTGAAAAGTACCCTTTTAATACAAACAAACGCAGAAAGAAGCTTGTGATTTTGAGACTGTACTTACTTGCCCTCCATAAATAAAGATAATGCAGCTTCCTGTTGGAGACTGCCCATTGAAGCATACCAAATGTTAACATGTTAAATGTTAAATGATAGTGCCTCAGGCCTCCCTTCTTTTTAATATTTGCAGCCTAGGAAGTTACATGCAGCAAAAATAACTTCTGGAAAGGGTACTTAATAGCTTTTGTTACAGCAGTAGGACACAAATATGTTTTATGGTGAAGATTTAGCAAGTACTTTGTTCAAGATGGAGCTTCGCAAGCCAGATCTTTCTGGAAGAACCTGGCTGTTTCTGAGTAAGAGCTGTGCTAGACTCTTCTGGAAACATAATGCCCAGGCTCGCCTGATGGTTAAGCCGAAAGAACTTAAGTGCCTGGGGAGCTTTACTGCAGTGTGTTTCCAGCATGCCCTGACCTATTCAAGAGACTGGGGAGCAAAGCTCTTCAGTTAATGGCTGGACATACGTGGCCATACCAGCTCCGTGGGAGTCAGCTGTTGAACATAAGCATTTGTTACCCAGCTCAAAGCAAAGCTACCGTTGAGAAAAACAACAAAAGATACCTCGCTTAGGAGAGAAGGAGTGTTGCTGACCGCTAAGAGGCTGTTGATCTGTGGCTGCTGCTCTCTGTCGCAAAGTAATGATGACTGTTGGAGGAGGTGGAGAGCCCAGTAACAATCGAGGGGATCAGCTGTGGTTATATTGCGCTCTGTCCTGCCAACAAAAGGAGATGGATCAGCTTCAGATATGCATGGGGCTTGGAAGAGGAAAAAAGCTCTGCTGGAAGTTGCAGGGAGGATCAGGAGCCTGGCTCATGGAGGGAGAGGAAGCCGTTGGGGGGGAGGAAGAAGGGATATGTCAAGGAGACCTGCAATACTGGCATAAGAGCAATAAACGTACTGGTCATGGTACAGCCGAATAATGCTGGGAGGGGGAATACCTTGAAATACAACCATTTTCCCCTTACCCAGCTTCCTCATAAATTTTGTTGAATCTGCTTCTCTCAAAATTGAGGAGCCCCATTTAGGCTTAGTGTGGTTTCATTAGCTGGGTGGTGGAACTGGAGATAGACATGGCATTTGGGACACAGAGTGGAAGGGAACTTCAGGCGAGAATTCAAGTGGAAAAACTCAAATCAAAGTTTTTTTTCTTTTTATTTAAGGTGCTACACTTGGACAGTTTCTGAAAGAGTGAAGAAGTTGCCCAGAGTGAGTAAAAGAAAAAAAGCTGGCAGTCAAGTAAAAAGTATCCCCTTGAAAGACTTTTTAAGGGCTAGATTGGGGCCTTCTTGCTGTTTAATTGTCCCAAACCTCTCTATCAAGTCTTGTCTATGTGAGTACAGATGACTATTTATACTTTCAGCAAACTTTAAAAGAACAGACCATGAATTTCTAAAAGCCATATATAAAAATGATTTCCATTGCCACCAAAACACACAAAGCTCTATTTAAAAGTGTTTCTAGAGTGGCTGTTGGCTATTCTAGCTAGCTGTAGCTAGCTTTGTGCTCTTGAAGTGCATGAATTATTGCAAAGATGACAGTACTTGCCATAAGAATTGCATAAAGAACTGCAGTTTATACAGAAGTTCTTTCTCAGTTGGTCATAGTAGATATTTACAGATAAAACGATAGAGCAAATAAGTGAATCACAGAGGTAATCCCAGCATAGTTTCTGCAGACAAAACTTGTGAAACTTTATTATTATTACTAAGAGATGTGAAAATATAGAAAAGGTCATTGATGAAAGAAAACTGATGCTGTTTCTCAAAACTCACCTGTAAAAGATACACTATCGTCCTGATAAGAGATTTGTATGTTGCCAATAATATACTAGCACCTCTTGAAACTGGCTTTGGGCCCATTTTAAGCAACAAGTTTGTATACGTTCTTACGTATGTCATTCGGCTTTTTGATTTGAAAGGAGTCCAATGTGCATCAGTATATAGCATGTTTAATTAAATACAATTTTCTATTATACTTCCTTATTCTCTGTGTTTATATAAACAAATGGCTCAATTAAGTGGAGGTGAGTGGGAAGAAATATGAATTCATGTTTTACAGATTACCCACCCACAAATGTGCTTTAAAAGTGTCATTAAAACCAGGTCTTTTTTTAAGTTTTGAAAGCTGTAGTATAAATCATGACTTGCCATTTTCTCCTTCTGGTGGGAAGACTACTTTTTATCTTCTAAAGTTACAAAGCAATAAAGTTTTCTTCCGGGGTGGTTTTTATGGAGACACCAAGTTTAATGGCCCAGTGTGTTAAAAACTGTATGCTAACATTTTTCGCGGTCGGGACTAGTTGCAGAATCAAAACTTTTCTAAATTTCCATTCTTTTACCAAAACTGTGGAGATAGATAGGAGTATACAAAGTCCAGAATCAGGGCCTAATAGGTGAAGGAAACATGAATTCTTCTTTGAGAAAATATTAATACAAATTTGGGATTCTTTACAAAGAAAGTTATGAGATAAATTTTATTTTGCTATTTTACAAACCCAAACAAATATTATTTAGTTGTGTAAAAGCACATTAAATAAAAGTCTATTATGGTTTGATTAAATGTCCAGGTAGAAATATTTGTTAAAAGTCTAAATTTAATTCACCTATATTATTCCCTAAAAGCAATACTGATTTGCTAAGCAAATTTTTGATGTATACAGTCATAACAAGGAGTCTGCTCTTGGTTTAAATGCTTTTCAAATTAATTTCAAATCCTAACAGAGTCGTACAGATGGCTGTGCACATAAAATGCACCCCAAAAAACAGGCAATCGGATTGAGCTGCTCAGACAAAAAAAAAAAGTTACATCACCCCTTCTATAAGTACTAGATTATATATGCTTCCCTCTCCATCTCTTTATTAAGCATAAAGTGAATCTGCGAAAGCATTTAGTATTTCCTTCATGACCAGATGCTGTATCTGTTTTATAGTCAAACAGTATTACATACTAACCACTATAGATACACATGAAAAAAATCGTCACGCCTGCACTTCTGAACTCTTAGGAGTAAGTGATTTATTTTGATTTAGCATAAACCTGTTTCTAAAGGTATAAACAACAGATATGACCCCAAATAAAAATGTTTAACCTACATTTAGAGGAAATGGATGCTAACAAACAAATCATTAGCAACTAGCCTTGTGACTCAAACGAGTCATACAATGCATGACTTAATAAATCGAGTCTGGAATCAGAGAAGTGATGTGTGCACGGGTGCACTGCGAGCCCCTCCCTTTTTTTTTTTTCCATTCATGCGTTACACAATTAAAGGTGGGTCACTCACTGGAGCACCTTTTTCAGTTTTGTGAAAAATCACAACATTAAGAATGCATCACCATTTCAGGCCACAGAGCAGCAGCTCAAATGCATCCAAATTTGCAGACGTCCAGACTATTGTAGGAGGGGAAAGAAGGCTGTTGGAACTCAAGCTGCTTTCGGTTGGCAGCTTCGCAGATACATGGCTCTTACCGTTTGTGTCGAAGACCAGATGCAATGAACTGTGGGCAGTGGTTATCCACACAGGCAAAATCGTTTGTTTTTATGGCCCACGACATGGCAGCACCCATGAGGGTCCCACGCAAGAAGTTACTCTGTCATTAGTCCAGGAAGCTATGAGGCAGGAGCGCTGGCGTGCTGTTTAGGGGTGTTTCTGAGACAAACACTGATGTGAAAAGGGTGCACTGAACTGTGCAGGGGCCAAAGTCTTTCACTAACAGAATAAATTTCCTTGAATTTCCCGTGGGGATGCTGAAGGGATAAAGCATGTCTGGGCAGCTGCTGTGGTGATGCAAAGAATCTTTGTTGTTGTTGTTGTTTAGAAGTCTTCTTTTAACTGTGCCCACATGAGGAAATAGTATTACTGCGAGCGCTCCTGCCCAGCTCAAGCAGCAGCGTGGCGCCGAAGCGTCCGCACCTGCAGAGCAGACACCGCAGCGCAAAGGTGGGCGCGGGTACTCCGCCCGTGCCGTGGGATCGCTGACAGCTGCAGCCCCGTCACCGCGTTGAAGGGGTTCGTGCCCGCC